GGGCAACTGAGGTTTTGTTCATAAAATCTTTTCCTACACCAATGTCAGACTTAATTTTGAACTTGTAGGAAAGCTACAAAAATAGTGTAAAGACCTGACTTTTACCCTGCATCTAAAGACCCATTTGAATTCTGCCAGTTGTCTGAACAATGTTCTTTATAACAAAAGGACCCAGTTAAGGATCTCATGTCGTAGTTAGTTGTCAGGTTTCTTTAGTCTCCTTCAGTCTGGAGCAGTTCCTCAGTCTTTGCGTTACTCTTACAACCTCAGCATTTTTGAAGATTACAGGCCAGTCATTTTGTAGGTTTTCCCTCAATTTGGGTTTGTCTTTATTTTCTCACGATTAAATCTAGGTTTATGTATTTGGGGCCAGAATACCACAGAAGTGGTGGTAGTTCTTCTTATTGCTTTGTATCTAATGGCCCGTGGGAACTATTTAGTGGTATAGGACCCTTTCATTAAGGTGATTTCTACAAGATATCTCCCCTGCAAAGTCATTTTGCCTTTCCTTTTGTATTTTATGAGAAGATACCTGAGTTCATGTAAAATAGTATTCTTTATCCTATTTTCACCCAATAACCTTAATATCGTGGATTTTTTTGCCTGAATTAATTATTGCAAATAATGTTTGCCAAATGATTTTCTAATTCCACCATTTCTTTCATTTATTTATTTAGGTGTTTACTTCCAGGAAGAGCTTTTTGTTCTCATCTTTTCATTTGTTGTACTAATGAAGGCTCAAGGATTTCTATTTTATTTAATGGGTTCTTCTTTTTTTTTGTGTACTGAGGATCTCACTCGGGTCCTTGCTCTTGCAAGGCAGGTGGCAGAACCACTGAGCTAAATCCCTGGCCCTAATGGGTTCTTTTATTCTGGTTTATTTTGGTGCTCCAGTTATCCCAGATTTAGCTAAAGGGAGCCCTGTTAAGCTGACTTTTGTATCCTTTTGACCTGTCCCCATTATTCTTTGAGCACAAGATGTTTCAGGCTCATTTTCTTCTTTTCTCTTACCTGACCCTGCAGTAAGTCATATATCCAAGGAGCTTTGTCATGACAAATAGTATTTAGTAATCAAGATTTGGCTGCTAGGAAGCTCATTGCTCTGGATAACTTCAGAAACATATACATACATGGACATTTATATCTGTATTTATTGCTATCCTTGTCTCTGCATTGAAAAGTAGTTAATATTAATACTTCCAATTCTAGTTCAAAACTACATCCGAGCCTTTTCCCTTTCCATATTTTAAACTCTCTTCTCCAATAGTGAGAAATCTGTCTTCCGTTATCTTCAGCATATTTAATATTTACTCAGTTCCCTTGAGAGTAGCCAATCCCCTGACCTTGCTGGGCCACCACCCCACTCAGAGGCCCACCTGTGGATTTAGACCCCTCCTTAGGCAACCTGTAGCACTGTCTCAGGGCCCCCTTTCCACACCATTCACCATCTTCCTACCCTCCATGGGGCCAGGCTGCTACTGGGCTACAAGAAGCAATGTTAGTCAAGTAATTCAAATTTTAAAAAGCAAAAATATCAAAACAAAACAACAACAAAAACTTCTTTGTAGCTTAATCAGATAATCAGAACTTGACTAGTAGACCAGATCTGAGACTAGTGTGACCCCTGGTCTAGATAGTAATGAGAATGATGATCAGAGAATGAATATCATCTGTGGAAGGACGGATTTTCATGAGAGCTGAACTATCTAACTGGGTTAGGAAGAAAAATGAGCACATACCCCTGCCTTTCCTCTCTCTGTGGTCTTTTGCACCATCCATTGGGCTAAGTAAAATACAGAGTGTAGTGCTTTTGCCTCCTAGGGGAACATTTCCATTAATTTAAGGAGTTTTGGGGTTTTTTTTTTTCCTCCATATTTCTTACTGCTTACTGGTTCTTAGGCTCTGTGGAACCCCACTCTTTGTCCTTAGTAACCTTGTTCTTGCTGAGGGTTCAAAATATAATGACCCAGTGAAAGGAAGATGAGGAAGAAGAGTGATTTTGTACAAGTACATTGCCCTTGAGAAAAAAGGAGTGTAGGAATGGATAAACGTGTCAGGTGTCAGATCTGCCCAACCATGGGATTTTGCCCGGCTCATTATGTTGACCAACTTAGACCAGGTTCTCACAATCAGCGGAGATGAGAAGCCTCTTTCCGTGAAGCAGAACTTTCCCCTCTCTCAAACTCATCATTTTAGGGAGAGGAAGGTGGGAGGTATGTCACTGTGAGGTAACATCGGGTCAAGGCAGGCAGCCTATGGTGGCCAGCCTGGGCCCCCTTTGTGTTTCCCAGGAATTCATAGTGACATCTTCCATCTGCTTGGAGAATCACTGCAGGAAGAAGATTGGGATGTAAAGGCGAGGCTGAGCCAATGAGTGAAATGATGAAGAGTTCAGTGATAATTCCCGGAAGTTTGTTGAAAATCTGAGGTCCTTCTCAAGCACAGACACAATCCTTGTCAAACGCTTGTCCTTTAGGCATAGGCTGGTCAAACTTCTCTCTTTGTCCACATCCTTTTCCTGGCCTCGTATTTGTTTTAGTTTTTTGAGTTTAGCTCTTTTTTTTTTTTCTTCTCACTACTATTTCTTTGGCTCTTGTATGTTTCTGATACAGGGAATTAGGGAGTGAGATAGTGGGTGGGTGAGAAGAAATGGAGAAGAGGAAAATTTTTAAACGCTGACCTTTAATGTGGTAAGAATTCATGTTGGCTTCATAGTCTGGATAAGCATATGTAAATAATTTGTAAATCATATGAAAATAAAGTTGTGGCCTTCCAGGTTTTTTTCACACACTTGGATCTGCCTCCTGGGAAAAACACTTCAGGGGAGGGTGATATGGTTTTTGAGGTATGTAAACAGGGCTTGATATTTACCATATCCATTTGCCTTGAGTGGCCTTTTGTTGATACTGAACATCACTGGAAGGTTTTCTCTTTCCGTGCTTACTTCCTTCAGAGGCACATATATTTTCTGCTTTGGTCTTCTTTTGACAGAAGTCCAGGATATCAGATTGCTGTCCTGTTTTCACTGGGCTCCATGTTTAATCCCTCTGTCGTCTGCCTTCCTTCCAAATTCAGGAATTAGCCTCTTGTCCTATGCCCATATTTATGCTGTTTTGCTTTGTCTGCTCTTAATGTGGCCATTATTGTTCTTTTTAAATTAAATATTATAGATCAGTTCTATTCTTTCTATCGATGTGATTCTATCTATATTGCTGTGCTGTCCTTTTTTTCTTTTACTTAACCTTACCCCCTAGAGTGTTACAGTACCAGGCTCTGTGTGGACACTGTTTCCTGATCAGCTAATACCCAGTTATCCCTAGTGGCCAACACACAGTTTCCCAGGTTGTGAGTAACCATACTTGCAATTTCTCATCCTTCCTATTGATATAAAGTTCTGTATCAGAGAAGCAGCATCTCACAGTAGTTAAGACCAAGAGTTTTAGAGTCTGTGTGATCTTGTGTACATTACTTAATCTTCCTGGGTCACATTGAGTTCTTGTATCTATTTTAAAAAGTAAATATAATGTGATCTACATTCATAGTTTTTTTTTAAGGATTGAATTTATATGTGATATTATATACAAAACACTTAACATGGGCTTTAGCACTTAGTAGGCATTCAGTATTTATTAGGTAATGATGTCACCCTCCATCATCATTATTATTATTATCATTATCATTATTATTTCACTGATCCTTAGTTCTGTTTGTTTTCCTTCTTTCCTTTCTTTCTGTTTGAGACAAGGCCTCACTATCCAGTTCAGGCTGGCCCTGAACTTATGGTGATCCTCCTGCCTCAGCCTCCTGAGTGCTGGGATTATGAGTGTGTGCCACCACACCAGGCTGTTTTCTTGAAACTCTGATCCTGGCGCTTAACCTGTGTCCTTCTATCAGGTTTGCAACCGTGCGATATGATCAAGGAGCCAAGAACATTCGGAACCAGTTCATGCACCTGACAAACTACAGTGTGAATAAGAAGAGTGGCGACTATGTAAGGTACTGGCTATGTCTGAGCTCAGAGTCAGAGAAGTCAGGTGGAAAGTTAACACTTACATTGTGGAAAGTTAACACTTACATTGCATAACATTGAGTTTCTGGCCTTGTAACACTTATGGAAGTGTCATGGTATGCAGCTTTAAGGCATATTTGTTGCTGCTGCACCATTGCTTGTATAGTTATAGGGCTGCCTTTTTCCACCAAAATATGCCTTCGTCATTTTATTTTCCTGATTGTCTTCCCTCACTTGACTTGAGAGTGGGAATTTAATAGACATATGAAACTTGTTTTGTTTGGGGTCGGTCTCACTATGTAGTGTAGGCTGGCCTTGAACTCACAGTGATCCTCCTGCCTCAGCCTCCCGAGTGCTGGGATTACAGGTCTATGACACCATGCCTGGAGCAACTTTTTAGAAATCAAGAAATGAGGTCCCGGGGTCGGGGATTTAGCTCAGTGGTTCAGCCACCTGCCTCGCAAGCACAAGGTCCCGAGTTCAATCCCCGGTACCAAAAAAAAGAAATGAGGTCCCTTCAGCACTTGGAAAACGTATCAAAAGTTGAAAAATATGTGTACTATTTGACACAGAAGTTCCATTTCTAGGAATTTAACCTTAAGAAATAAAGGATATATGCATAGGATGAGGGATAAGAATGTTTTTTACTGTGTATTGTTGGGTGGTAAAAACACATTTCAGACAGTATAAGCAACTGAATTTCCTGGTTGAATAGATAGATATCTAAAGCTTATTTTTGTTAAGAGTAAAAAGAGAGAAAGATATACACTGAAATTTCAACTTAACTATAAGGGGTGGGATTGTGGGTGAGTTTTATTTTCTTCTATATGCTTTTATGCATTTTCTAAATTTTATTTGGTCAGGAAAAAATTAAAGAAAGAGAGAAAACCAGCTCAAAAAGAATGTAGTGGAAGAAAGGAGCACCGACCCAGCTGTGTGGAAATATTCCTCTTGCTCTGTTTCCTTTCATCCTGATAATTTTGCCAGAAAGTGGAAAAATAGAAAAGAAACCAAACAGTCACTTTCTACTCAGACTAAAAATAGGTCCCTAGCATGTCCAAAGAAAGAAAGAAAGGAAAGAGTCTGGAAATGATGGGATAGCTGCTGAAGCTGCATGGGTTTCATCGAGTGGCCTGTGGCCACTGTTTTGCATTGGCTGAAGATACTGTACCCTTCAGTGGGGAAGAGGAGTGGAGGTGTGGCTGGTGTAGAGGGTGGGAAAGGTAGCAGGAATCGAGAGGGCAGCTGCAAAACACAAGTTCCGGGCCGAAGGCCTTGCAGCATTCACGGGCATCTGCCCCCCTTGCCATTACAGCAGTGGGGTGCTTCCCCTCCCTGACGGTACTCTAGTGTGTTCTCCCTCCCATGATGACTCCGTCTACCACCACAGAGGAGGAAGCTTTCTTCTTGTGCCACAGCAATTCTGTGTGCAGTTATCGAGTTAGAGTGCCACACTAGATTAGCTCACTCACTCGTCCCTGTTGGGCTCTGGTCTAAAAATGGCATCCAAGGTTTTCTAGACTCATGACATTTACCTCAAGGCCAAGGTGTATATCCCCATTATTATTCGTTTATTATAAGTGTTTTTAAATTTGTTCACCTTTTTTTCACATTTCCTTCACTCTTTTATAATTGTTTGGTTAAGGAAGAATTTACCTTCTTCTTCCCTACCATCTTCAATAGGGCAAATGAAATGCATTTTGATTTTCATTTAAGAAATTGGTAAATTGGTACAGAGGGATATGTAACAGAAAGAGCATGGAACAGTGTGTGAGTGCAGGTTAGCAAAATGAACGTTTTTCCAAAAGCTTAAAGACTGTTTATAAAGAACCATATATATATGCAGCCCAGCCTAGTGGCATATATGACCTTGATTCATTCATTCCTTTTAGTTGTGATGATCCAGAAGTGGAGGATTATGGGAACAAATGGAGCATGAGTGCTATGCTCAGGTACCTGAAACAAGAAGGCAGAGATACAACTGGTGAGTTTCAGCCCCTTTCCTCCTTGATTCCTCTTTGTACAACTTTACCATCATCTCTTGCGAGGAGTCATTCTTGTAACTTTGACAGTGTTGCTGAGATGCCCGGTGGGATGATTTGCTCTTAGAGTTGCTTTTTCCTGGGGTTTATAAAATGGGGAACAGGCTTTTCATGAATCTCCAAGTCCCTTTTCTTGTTTGTAGTTTGGAGGCATAACTTTTGGCTTTAATCCTTAGTGAATTTATTCCTCTCGAATGTTGAACTGCTAACTAAAAGACAACCAGCTTTTTATGTAATAAATTGCATATCTCTGAATGGGCCCTGAGTTCAAATTTTTCTAAGTTAATCTCTTTCATTCCTGTTGCTTAGTTGGAGCAGGGGCAGAGTGGAGTTTGAGTACAGGGTGAAGAACAGAATGGGCACCTAGGGCTGAGCCTGAGTGGAATGGGAGCAGTGTCTCAGTCCTCTAGGGGGGAGGTGATGAGCCAGAGTGAGAAAGGAAGACAGACTCCTTTCCCACTGTCTGTCTTTTGTCATAGGAGACCACCTGAGCAGATCCCTGTGCCTGTGTTCTCAGCTGTATCAACCTATTTATGGCTGTGTCTGCCCCTGTTGCACCCATTCCAAGGATTACAATACAGAAACTTTCTGAATAAGCCCACATGCTTTTATAATTGTATCGTGACCTGCTCCTAATAATGTATGCATTTTAGTATTTCCTTCTTTATTTTGAACTTCTTTTTTGCAGCACTGATGGCCCACGTGGAAGACCTCATCATTAAGACGATAATCTCCGCTGAGCTTGCTATCGCTACTGCTTGTAAAACCTTTGTTCCTTATCGCAGCAGTTGCTTTGGTAAGGAGCTGCAAGAAGCTTGGGATGTTTTGTGAGGAGGATCCTGAGGGGTTGGGATGGGATTCTGGGGGTAGGGAGGCTTAGCAATGTGCAGGAATGAGAGGTACATGGACTTTGGTTTCTTTCTAAGCTCAGATAGCACATGCAGAGCCCACTAAGAAGCCGGGGTGAGCCTTAGTTGAAAGTCCCCTGAGGAGTAACTAGCTTTTGTTGTGGGAGGCAGGATTGGAACTAAGCGTGGGTCTCTCAGAGTGCAGTCAGAAAAAGTCTGCAATGGACTGTACAGGAATCCAGCTCTAACAAATATATTCCAGAGCTCTTTGGCAGCCAGAGTGGGAATTGTTCCAAGCCCTGGCTGGTACCAGTATGTGCTTTCTCCCACTTTCTGATGATTCTTTTTTTGTTTTAGTCTTCTTTCTAGTGGGTTCTTTTTCTTCTTTCTTCTCTTTCTCCTCCTCCTCTTTTTTCCCCTCCTCTTTCTTTTCTTCTCTTCCCCTTCCACTTCACCCCCAACCTTCTGATTGCACCTAGGAGGATTAATAAGCAATTGTCAAATACTGGGTCAGGAAACCTGTTAACCTCCTGCCCCCTACCTGTGGCTGTGGCATTGAGAGTGTGGGTGAACATTTGCTTTCTCCGTTCACAGGAACCTGTTAGTAATCACCAGTATGAATGTCTGTAAAGTCACACAGGCTTTCAGCAGGGGCTACGCTGGTTAATAAAATGTACTCAGGTCACTGATAAGTTGATTAAAGCTTAGTGTGGCACATTACAGGCAGTAAGGATGTAAGAGGCTTGGCTTGCTTAGGAAGTAAGGAACTTGGGCTTTAGAGCCAGGTAGCCTTCATTTGAAACCCATTTGCACCCATTGCTAGCTACTTTGATGATTTTCAGTAAGTTAATCTGTTTTCTCAATTGTAAAGTGGCAGCTGCAGTGGTATCTACTCCTTAAAAGCACCATGAAGATCAAATGAGATGCTGCATGCAAAGTGCTTGGCACAGTGTCTGGCTTAAGCTGCACTCAATAAAAACCATTTTTTAATTATTTTTATAATTAGTCATTATAACTCTTGATCTCTTTAATGGCTTATCATAACAGTCTGTGCTTAAGAGGTACTAAAATAAGGGAACTGTTGAGACCCTAAATCAAAGATGTATTAATCTGGACCTAAAATGGCACAGGAAAACAAGATTATACTACCACGTTAAAATGCACATCTAGATGTTCATGTCTTCTGAGGTCCTTACATGTCTCGTAGGCTTAAATAGTATAATTGAAACACGATGTGACCTTCAAGGCCTCTAAGGATCTGACCCCAGCTGAGTTTTCTAGAACTCCATTTCCCCCTCTTACCCAATAATCTAGCTGTTCTGTACTATAACTCGGAGCATGCCATGCTTTGTGCCTCAGACAGTGCCTAATTTCTGTTGTCCAACTTGAAAACCCTCCTGTCAGCTTCGCACACCTGCTACTTTTCTAAGACTCCTCATTGCCTCCTCTGGGAAGCTTTGCCCCACATAGCACCTTGTTGTTTCCCCTCCCCTGCTGTTCGAGGCTTGTTTCCTTCTTCCCATCATTTCATGATGTTTTCTTCATAACTATGCTTGCTCTGTGGTCTCTGGGTTTATCTTCTTGAATTCTTGACAGTCTCTGTGTCCCCCTTCCCACCCCACTTTTTTTCTTACACCATTTCCCTGGACTCCCCAGGGACCTTTTCTAACCCTTTGCCTTTGCACATGCTTTATTTATTCTGTGTCTGGATCATTTTTCTTGTCTTACTTTACCTCCTAGACAGCTGATATTCTTCAAGACAAACCCAAGTATCCCTTCCTTGGTGACCTTTTACTAACTCCACTGGTCAAGGTTGGACTGTCCCACCCTCAGGCCCTAGACCTCTGCTCATAACTCTCCGCTAGTCCCTGCGTGTCGTCTGGTAGCCATTTATGTGCCCATCTCTTCTACCAGATGGACGCTCCTGGAGGACAGTGACAAGGTCTCCATTGATTTTGCCCCTCTAGTACAGAGCAGCGTCTTTTGCTCTTAGAGGTTGTTTGGAAATGTTTCCCAGGTGAATGATTGGTGCTTGCTCTCATTGCCTTTAATGGCCTGGCAGGAGGCTTCCCAATGGACCTGATTTGGTAAGGGCCTAGAGCTCTTACAGTTATTTCAGTGTGTTTGAAGATAGAACCCAGTGTGTTTAGAAATAGAACTCTAAAACCTCATTAGATTAAAATAATAAATAAAAGTTTCTTTTCTACATCTACTTGGTTCTTATATGAAAGTAAATTTCTGTCATGTGTGGTGGCACACACCTCTAATTCTAGTACTCAGGAAGCTGAGGCAGGAGGATAGCCACAAGTTTGAGGCTAGTCTGAGCTACATAGTGAGTTCAAGGCCAGCCTGAACTACATAGTGAGACCTGTCTCCAAACAAAACAAAACAAAGTAAATTTCTTATAGCCCTTATTGTGAGAATCTTTGTTCTAAGGAGTTAATCATGAAAGCTTCTCTAAATGTTTCCTTTTAAATGTTGTTTTATTACCTGATTGCCTTTTGGAAGCTTATAAATTTACCAGATTTAATGGGAGTAGAACATTTTGATGGGAAAGTAGTAGTGATTTCCTCTGACTCAGTGAAATACTCCCTAGTCCATGAGACCAGCATGGGTCTCCTTTCTCCTCTCCTGCTTGTGTTCAGTTTCAGTCAGCTGAGTGCATCTGGAGTTTTTTAAATTGTTGACTGTCTTCTTGGCTTTTGTGGTTCTAATTCCACTTCCTGTCAGCCCTGGGATTTTGTGTGCTTTGTTAGCCTCCCCTGGGCAGATATGATTCTGTATACGTGAGTATATTTGGATGATCCCTTTGTCTCCTAACTCATAGCCTCCCCTGAGGTTTAAGTTACAAGGAGTAAGCATTTTTTTTCATTTGTGTTAGAGTAAACAGGAATTGAGAGTTTCCCAGAAGATTTTGGTTTAAACAGAGCATTGGTGAGGAAGCAAGTAGTTCAGGAATGGGGTTCCCAATATTCTTCTGGTTATTATTGCTGACCTTCCACTTTATGACTCTCTGCCAGGGGCATTCCATTGCCATCTGAGGGTTTCTGTCCTGTGCTTCATTTTCCACCCTAACACCTGTAATGAATGTCCAGCTCTGTTGCCAGGAACCTTCAGTTATTTCATTCATACCTTTATTTACACATTTAACTTTTTTTTCAGTTTCTGCCACATGCCCGGCATAGGTTAGTCTTTGAGCAGTGCATTGCCATCAACAGTTTGTTCCTCTCAAACCAGATTTTACATGAGATAGTAAATATATAGATCTGGATTTGTGTCATCAGTTTTATGTATAGGTTTAGAAGCCTTCACAGATTATCTGAAATGTAGCCATTTAATGCCTTTTCATAGGATTGTACATCTGAGAGGACCTTAGAAAATAAGTAGTCCAAATATAGAAATGGAGACCTTGAGAAATGAATCCCTCTCAGGTTCTATAGCTAGGGAGTGAAAGAGCTTGGATGAAAGAGGCTGGAGAAGTGGAACTTTGCAAGAGCCCTGGCAGTCACTGCGTCTTGATCACAGGACTTCAATTGTGTAATCTTTGATGCCTCCTCCAGTAAAACAGATTTTTGACAGTATAATTATTACTGCCTCCCAAGATTGTGAAAATATGATGTCATGTGTAAGGATATGCTTCACTAGCAGCTCTTTAAATATGCAGAGGAAATTGGCACTGTGAGATCACTATGGGAACAGCTTTTTGACCAGTTGAAGAAAAACAGCCAAAAACAACAGGATATTAGCTGTCCTCTAAAGATGTTGCTGCTAACAGCGGTTTTATCTTTGTGTGTGAGGATGGCTGAGGTGATGAGCTATATCTGGTTCTCTGTAGTGTAGGATCATGTGGACCAACTGTGGGGCCACTTAGGGCACTGACGAGCTCGGCCTTATTTTGCTAAGACCAATGACTTGTTTGCTCAGACCAGCCATGCTTGGTACATCTCTCTCTGTTTCTGTGGCTTCTGTTCTTGCCATTTCACAGGGTAAGCTGACATTGTTGGAGGAAAGGTGTCCATAAATGACTGGAATGAGTGAAAGTGGGAAGCACACCCATAAAAAATAAGGAAAGTCAAAGTATTTACTTCTTAAGATAATATCCTTTCCTGGTTTATCCCTTGCTCCTGTTGAGGCTGGAAAGGACATTTACTGTCACACAGATTTCTGTGGGAAGTACCTGCTGTTTGTCAAACATTGTTTTTTTCCCGTTAGTCCTCAACAGTGTTGATATGTACTATCTATCAATCATGTACCATAAAACCCTTATTTTATAGACAAGGAAAAAAGATTCAGAAGGGTTAAGTAAGTTGTCCTAGGTCATGAGGCTAATAAATAGCAAAGCCAAGTTTGGGATCCAGGTCTCTCTGCCTCTTTCTGTACCCACATAAAGACAAGTTCTGATGAGCTCGGCCACTTTTGGCATGCCTGGTATCCTGTGTTCTCCTCTGGTCTCCTGTAACCAGATCAGGCCTGAAAAAGGGCTCTCTTTCCCTCCTAGTCAGTAGTACCTACTTCTAGATACTCCTTTCAAGTCTACCCTTGTATCTGATGGCCAGATACCATATTGACTTACTGGCCTAGTTAACAGTTGGCTTTGGGCTTTTTCTTTTATTGAGTTCATTTTCCTGTGGGATCTTGGTCTGATTTTTTTCTAAATTCTCTTTCTGGACCCCATTATATAGACTTTTCTCTTAGCTTGTAAACTCAAATCCAAAGCCAAGGTGAAAAGAATTTCCTTTATACAAAAGAATTTCAGTGACAGCGAGGACTGGCTAATATCAGCACTTTACATTGCCTTGGGGACCATCATTTCCGTTGGGACTTAATTTCTGGAAGGTTAGTAGATTATTTCCAGAATTAGTGGTGTGACATGCTTAATAATCTCTTAGGTCCTGGATGAACTATTTCTCTAACAGATCTTTTTTTTTTCTCTGTCCTTTCCTTAGCCATCTTTTATAAGTTTTTTGCTTAATATATCTTTATTATGTAAAATTCTTTTTCATGTGTGATACTGGGAATTGAATACAGGACCTTGTGCATCCTAAGATAGCACACTAGCACTGAGGTACATTTCTAGTCCTTGTAAAACTCTTAATAAGAATTTTTCTTAATGTTTTTAAGGATTGTTGGCTTTATCATGAATATGTTAAGTCATGTGGGTCAGGGTTATTTTGGAGGGAACTTACTGCAGTTTATTTTTAAATTGTTTGCAGGTTACTTTGTCTTTGAAAATTGTATGTTGCTTTTTGCTTGCATTTTTCTTTAATATTTCTTCATTGTTTTCTATGTTTTAGTTATGGAGAAGGCCATTGGTATATAATGACAGATGAGACATGGCCCTTTCTCTTAAAAAATGGGGAGGAGCAGGAATAAATGATAAATGACAGCACAAGTAGAGTGATTATAATGCTTTTGGAATACAGGAGTTACCAGATTTGCTGAGGGCAGCCAGAGAAAGCTGTTCCTGACAGAGAGAATATGATATATAAAATAAATATCATGACCAGAGGTGACATTTTTTGAAATGTTAAGAAGTGTGACTAGATGTAGCTGGCATGGAGTGGGGGTATAGGAGATAAAGTTATGTAGGTGGATTAGCGCCAGATTATAAAAGACTGGTAAATTTGGATTTCTCTTGTAGAAACATTCACTGGAGGAAACATTCATTGGAGGAAACATTCACTGAGCAGGATTATTATTTATTTCTTTAACTTTTATCATAGTTTGACCCAAAGCTCCAGATGACCGAGTTGTAACAAAGGAAATATGTACAATGTTACTAGCAGTGACCATTTGAAAATCCTCCAGGAACAAACCTAGCATTAGTGTCTATTGTTAAACCAATTCACTGCCTGTCACTATGTGACTGTTAGACCTTTTTCTTTTAGAAAGGTCATTCTGATGGCCTTGGAAAATGCACTACAGTGGGGAGGGACAGTGCTAGGAAGATGACATAGGAGGTAAGAAGTGGGCAGTGATAATGTATACTTAGCATGTGACCAAACAGTCCCACTCCTAGGTATTTACCTGGGAGAAATGAAACCATATGCTCACACAAATACCTGGGCACAAATCCTTATAGCAGCTTTATTCATAATGGCTAAAAATTGGAAGCAACACAAATATTCATCAGCTGCTGATTGGATAAATTATAGTATGCCTATATTGTGGAATATTACTCAGCAATAGAAAGGAATGAGCCACACTATTGATACATGTAAGAACATAGATAAATCTCAAAAGCATGCCACGAAATGAAAGAAGCCGGGCTCAAACACTACAAACTAAACCAATTCCATTTATTTGACTTTCTGGGAAAGGCAAAAAACAAAACTCAGAATAGTGATTGCCAGGTGATGGGGATGGTGGGAGTTGACTACAGAAGGACAAGGAAATTTGTTTCAGGAGACATTTGTGTGTTCTGTGGACATTAGCTCTGATCAGTAAGTAAGGAAGCTAGTCTTTCTCGGAGAAAAAGTGTAAGTGGTTTATTTAATGACACAGAATGGGATGTTTGGGGCTGAGTGGGACTTCTGAAAGTCTAATGTGTTTGACATATGTATACCAAGGATTGCACACTGTGATTTTCCTTGTAGAGAGGATTTCATTGGTAATAATATGAAGGGCTCCAAAGTTAACGTCTCATCCCTGAATTTGTTAAATAAAACAAGGCTTGCTTTGCCCTTTGCCATTGTTGGGAAGTAGAAGAAAATCATTGAAGATTCCAGAAGCCATGGAAACTTGATCTTTGGCTCCGTCCCTTCTTAATTAATATTAGTGGTGCAGGTGGCTTGTCACAATCCTGCTCTGCTACCGCTGACTTCCTCTCTTCTCCTCTGACTTTCTGTCTGTAGACCAAGTGTTTTGTTTTGAAACCATCAGAGAAGAGAAATAATAAATTCACATTTAGGCATCTTCTTGACATGAGTTGCAGATGCAAGATCTTAGGTGTAAGGAAAGGTGATGGAAGGATCCTAGAGAGATTCTTTCAGTAGATCCCTGTTTTCAGAGTATGGTGGGGGTGGTAGTGCAAGACAATCCTAAGGAAGCCCAAAGCAGGATTGTTATTGGATATGCCTCATTCCTTTTCTCAGCTTTTTTATATATAAACACAGCATGGGCGTTACCTTTTTTTGAGTCATATTGCTGTCTTAACAGAACTCAGGAACGTCAGTACAGTGGATGGTAAAAACATTGGAACTTTGTAGTGTTGTTTTAAAATTATTCCTAGCACATGATTAACTTCTCTTAAATTTGAAAGATTTTCACTTTAACTTTTACTTACTGCTTTATACTCTTCAAGTTTTTAAGCCTCTGATGGGAACTGATTCGATTGAATCTTCCAGATCTTTGTGTGCTTGTGATGTGGAAAGTGATCTTTATGTGTTGTGTTATATTTCTAGAACTATACGGCTTTGATGTGCTCATAGATTCCACTCTGAAGCCATGGCTGTTGGAAGTGAATCTCTCCCCTTCCTTGGCCTGGTAAGTCAGTTCCATCAAACATGAAAAGGATAAACCTGCAAGGGGCACTAAAACACCTTCCTTTAGGAGCAGGAACATTTCTGTTGACACTGGAAGACACCAGCTATTAGTCAGAGATCACTTTAACTTTTTAAATTTAGATGAATTACGGTGTGTTACCAAAGTTCATATGTCAACCAGGGCCCGTCTTCCTAGTCATTTGCAATATATATTTACTGTTGATTGAGATTCTAAGAGATGATTCTTGCATTTGTTTTTTTGTGGGTTTTTTCAGTACTGGGGATCGAACTTGGGACCTTGTGCTTCCAAGGCAGGCAGTGGCACCACTGAGCTAAATACCTGGCAAAAATGATGATTTTAACCGACTACCCCTCACTGTTGTTTTTTTTTTGCATTCATTTTTATTCCCAGGTTTTTTTTAAAACTTTGTAAGTTTTCTACTAAGGCTAAAGAAATACGTAAGGTATTATGTTCCCTTTATTAGCAAAGGTTTATGCGTACTTCAGTCCTCAGAAAGTGGAAAGGGATGAAGCTGGTTGGAGGACACTCTAGATAATACCTGGTCCATTTGTCCTGTTCTGTGTCCTGGTACCCATCCAAGATTAAAGTCTAAAGACTTCAAGCAATCTTCAGAAAAGCTTTTGAAAACCAGTCTTTTTTTTCATAAGAATGAAACGTTTTTCAGTATGAAAGAAGATTCTGTTTATATGTGCAGTTACAGCCAGAATTTCTATTAGCTATATACTCTCTAAACAGAGAACCCTCGAGATTTATGCCAAAGACCACCCAGCTGCTGAGTTTTTAAGGATAAGAGACATTGGCAAAATGCCAGGTAATCAAATAAAGACAGATTGACTACTTTCTAGAGTGGGAGTTTGGCTTAATTTCAGTAGTAAGGTGTAAAGCTAGATATTACAGATGCTTCAAATGTTATGCTACACTTTTGTGTAGGTCAGCCTTTTGCAGATTGCCCAATAAACCATATTTGACAATGTCAGAGATCCCTAGAGTGAACACAGGGTCCAGCAGCCAGAATAGTCTGGTTCAGGAGGAAGCACTGAAGCCATCCTGGCAGTCACCAGCACCAAGGGGCTCTTCCTTTCAGTTCACATTGTTTCTGTTTCCTTGTGTGATCCTGCTGCATTATCTGCTGAGGTTTTGGTGTGGCTTGTTTGTATCTTTTTGCCCTGTTTGTAAACCTGCAAGCCTAAGAAGATTGACTGAGAACAGAAAATGAAGACTTAAAAAAAGTACAAAGGTGACCAAAGTTTCTCGACTTGCATGTGAATGTTATTCAACGATTGCATCAGTAAAACAATTTGGATGACGGGCACACTCACACAAGCACATACTAAAAGTTGAACCCCTAAAATCCACAGTGATAATGAAGCAATATTCTTGACTTGTGCAAAATTAAAATTGCACAAGACCTCGTGGAATAAAAAGATTCTCTTTCAGGGAATCAATGTGTTAGTGCTGGGCCTTCCTTACAGAGGATGCATTTAAAACCAGGCTTTTATTTCTTGTACTTTTGCCCAGATTTCTTTTTCTTTTTCCATGGATTTGATGTGCTTTGTGTTGCTTTCTCATTGACATTTGGAAAGTTTGCTACGTTGGGGCCCATTAGGAGGCAACTACTTTGTTAACTTATAGAATTACCAATAGTTCTTTTCTTTTTCTGTTTTGTTAGTGATGCACCTCTGGACCTAAAGATTAAAGCCAGTATGATTTCAGATATGTTCACTGTTGTAGGTGAGTAGTAGTGTTTTCTGAACTGAGCTCACATAAAAATAATCCAGCGCATCCATTTTGTCAGACTCCATAGGTGTTGCCAATTGGCAGTTCCGAAGCCACGCCGAATGTTTTGTACTAAAAAATTATATTTTCAGGGAAGTGTTTATATGTTTCTACTCCCCTTGGCTCCATTTTGTCCTGAGGTTGAACCACAACTAAGGCTGAGACCTGGGGCACAGGAATTATGAGCTGAGGCAGAGAATTAAGCAAAGATCTGCAGAAAGTATATTTTTCTCTGAGCTGGGAAAGTGAAACCCAACTGAAGAAGCCTTGTTATAAGGAGACTGGCTATATTTCTGCTAGACAGTCTCTACTGGTCTCAATGTGATCCCTTCTGTAGTAGTTATATCCAGAGCTACCCAAGGAAGAAATCCCATTTTAAGTAAATAACCCAAGACTTTGAAATGGAGATGGGCAGTCAGGTGGGTATGATGTGGATTTATTGTTGGCTTTTAACATTCTCTCAAAAGACATTATAAAACGTATTTGAGATGAACTAGTACTTGATGTACCAGTAAATGCTATAAAACTTAGCTACTTTATTCTTCTTGGATGAGAATCCACCTCTTTTTAGGAAGTAAGTGAAATTAACTGAAGTCATTTCTTAAGCCGTAGATAATTTGCAAAGCTCATTTTCAAAGTTGCCAGTAGACCTCCTTCTGCAATTCTAGAAGTAGATTGTGTAGCAGCACAGGACTGCTCACTTGTTGGATTCTCCCAGGAAAAACTTTATTTTTTAGTTATCATCCAGGAAGCTACTTTAAAATAACTTGTTTTTATTAACAACTTTGTATTTTTAAATGGTTACTGATGCATTTATTTAGAGTTTATCAAAAATCTACCTATCTTTCTCAGTTAGAATCACATTTCCGCTGTTTATCCACCAGCATAATCCTCTTGAGAATGGATCTCTGAAATATTTATAACCATGAAACCAAATGGTACATATAAAGATGCAGCCAAACTTGCTAATTTCTTATAAAGTGGCAGATTGTTGTTGTTTTTTTCGGTACTGGGGATCGAACTCAGGACCTTGCGCTTGCGAGTCAGGCTGTGGAACCACAGAGCTAAATCCCTGGCCCCTAAAATGGCAGATTTTAATGTTGCTTATTTCCCATTCAGGATTCGTGTGCCAAGATCCTGCCCAGCGGGCAGCAACACGACCAATTTATCCCACCTTTGAGTCATCCAGGCGTAAACCTATCCAGAAACCTCAGGTAAGCAAATTTAGCAGCAGGGAGCCCAGAGCAGGCTTGCTAGGAAGGGGTAGCAATGTAAATGGGGGAACTGAAGTGGGACAGATGTGAGGTCACTTAGGGCAGGAGAATCTGGGGATCAATGCAGATGGAAAGTAGTTTATGTTCACCTGAGGCTAATAGCTCATACTTTCAATGCTTCTCCACAAACTTACTCCTGATTTTGGGGGGGGGGTTCCTTATCATTTTTTTCTTTTACTACTTTAGCTTTTTCTTTTCTGTGCCTTTTATTTATGTTCTTTTCTTTGCCTTTTATAAACTCCCATTTTCCCCCTTAGTTGACATACTCAAAGCACAGAGAGGGAGGCATTACTGTCTTCTTTCTGATCTTCAGACTAGTTTCATAAAGGTACTCTGTTGAAATAGTATCTTCTCTACAGGTGATTCTCTTCAAAAGAATTCTTAATGATCTTGAGGTATTGATTGAAGCTACATGAAATAAATGGCTAAGGAAACTTGCACAAATCAGAACTACCATTTGGTCCTGCACCACTCTGGTCTTTCTGTACTCTGCATGTAAACCAGTCAGCTAAGCCTTCTGTCTACTCATTCCGTCATCTCCTTCATCCCTGTTTGTTTTGGGACTGCTAGTTTCCATTTCTATTTCTTTGCCTTTAGTGTATCTTCTTTAAAAGATCTGACTTCCTTCTTTTGGCCTATCTTGTTTGATTACTTTGCCTACTCAGAAGTTTTGGAGATCTTTCCTTAATAAATCCATCCCACTGTGTAATAACCTTTACTTTTCATTTCCTAGTTACTTACTTGTTCCATATTGGCTTATTCTGTATTCATCAGTTGTTGCTTTTAAATTATCTAGTACTCCTTCACTAAATTGCAAACTCTTTGAAAGCAGAAACAGCTTCTTAATCTCCCTTCCCTCTTCTTGTTTCTTTTTTCCGCTTCTCCTTTTGATCCCTCTCCTACCTCTATTTCCGCCTTTTACTCCTCCCCTTTGTCCCCCCTTTTCTTCCATTCTTCTTCCTCCTCTTCCTTTGCTTGCTGGTCTCATTTAGAGCAATACTACTTCTGTTTGCCAAATTCATACGCTATTTTCATTAAAGCAGAGTTTTCAAACTCAGCCTGCAGGCAGGTAATGTAAATGAGTAAGTAGAAGCAGGTCTGAGAAAGCCCAAGTGAAGTCCACAGGAAATGATAGAGGTCAGCTGGAAAGTGCAAGCCTCATGCAAAAGGGGCAGATGTTTAATGAGTGTGTTCAAGCTGATCATTGCAGACGTGTGGGCCAAGGGTGCTGAGAAATCAGAAATCTTATTTTCAAGTATTGACAACTAATTCATTAAAAGAAAAAAAGCAACAACAACTTTGCGGCCAATCATAACAAGTCTTTCAGCTATATTCAGTTTGAGCTGCCTATCTATGAACCCTGCTCTGAAATGACTCCCTAATTTGGGTTGTGAAGTGGAACAGGATGTACAGTATTTTAAGAGGTATTGTCTTGGATTAGAAATAAAACCAGGGATCAGAATGATGCTTGATCAGTTCATCGCCACCAATCAAAGGGTTTCCTTTACTTTTTAAAAAATAGAGAATTAACCTAAGTGTACTTGGAAAGCTTAATTTATGCAGTCATCTTCCTTTGCAGATTATTCCCTGCAGCAATGTGGCAAGAACTGCAAAATTATACATAAGGATTGTGAGTGTTTCTGGGCAGTTCTCATATGGTTTCTGCCAAGTTTCACTCTAGGGATAGCTGTAGACCATTCTTGGATAAATGGATCCCCACCACCACCTTTTTTTTTGGCTTGCTTGTCACCTTACTGGCAATTCTTGCCGATCATAGAGAATCTGTTCGATGTTTATTTTGCCGACTGGCAGATAGTGACATGGGCATCACCCACAAGCAGCTTACAGGATGCTTATGTAAAGACTAAAGGAACTGTAGATTAGTTGTGTGTACTGTGTGAATCAAATTTGTCAGGTGGGCTAGTGAACTTCAGGATCTTCTGTACTTGACCAGAGGGTTGTGCCCTTAGTGGTGAGAGGATTTGAGGTATAAACTGTGTAAGAGGAAGTAGTCTGAAAAATAATAAATGCTCTAACTTTCCAGTCACAGAATGTAGGGCTCTTGCCTTTGGTCTGTACTCAGAGATTATTTTTTCCCTTTTTAAATCAAACATGTAAGAGATGGGAAATATAGACATAATAAGCCTTTATTCCATTTTTATGTATCCTAGACCTGCAGTTTCAATCATCAAACACCAAGCAGATATGTTCTGGATCATTTGGAGATTTTATGCAAATCATTTCATTCCTTAATTTAGCTTTACCCTTTCATGGTGCATATTTTATGTACCTGCTTCTCACAACTTAATAACATAAAATTGAATAAATGAAAAGAATTACATAGAGGTATTTTTGGTTATTAAATGTAAAAATATATGATGCTAGAACTTAGGATCCTATCTTCTTTTCCTGATAGTGATTTATGTTGTGATGGAGGCTGAATTTAAATGATGAAGAGGGCTTAAATGCCTGTTTATTGCTTTGACCAAAATATTCTAGAATGGAAATATTGTAGTTCACAGATGAACTTTAGTTCAGATGTCTTATGAAACATGCTATTGTTGGCAACTTAATATTAAAAATATTTTTATATTGGATTTCGGGCTGTATCTGAATTTTTTTTTGTATTAAATTCTTTTATTGGTACATTGTAGGTATACAACACAATTACTTTTCTCATTGAGAATTGTACCTTTACATAATGCATCTTGGTTCTTATTTTTTTCCCATTCCTAGCCCTCCCTTCACGCCCTCCACCCTTACCTATTTAC